GACAGTTTTTACCTTTTCTGTGGAGCAGATTTATAGCAGGGAACGGCGAGAGGAGAGCGGTGCGGGGATGTGGTGAGCTCACTGGGATGCAGTGCAGAGGAGGCTCCACAGCAGAGCAGGAGCTGTGCTTCCCAACCCGCAGTGCTTGGGATGCATTTCCAGAGAGAGACACTCTCATTTCTTCCACTGGAGACTCCCAAGAGGTTGTGGTGGAGCAATGCTGTGTCTGGGATGCTGAGGCAGTATCCCAACTAGACACTGCTCCAGTTAGCAGTGCAGATTTGAGGGCAAGAAACCAAAGTGACCCATGCCCAGTTCTAAAAACACGTCATGTCCATGTAGAGATCAGGTCTTAACTGTCACACATTTAAATACATTCCTACAATCATCTTGCCTGATGAGACTCTATATCTACATGTCCAAAAATACTGTCTGATGTGAAAGATATTTTTAGGAGACCTGAAATGAAAGACTTTTAGGTTATGGGGCTCCAGTGCTTTTTAGCTGTGCTGCATGAGGAGCTAGCTAGAACTCAACTTCTTTCCCTTTGGTAAATGAAGGGCAAGACTTGGGTGCCAGTGCTGGATTTTGAGTGACTTGAGCTCAGTAATGCTAACTTCAGCCATTTATGGACAATTTGTGGTGGATGAACACTACCATTGCACCTTCATCCATGGGGTGTTTCCTAGCCACTGTCCCATTCTAATGAAGCTTATAGAAGGCAGATGTGTGTGCCTGTCAATCAGACAAATGTATACATATGTCAGTTCAGGGTGTTTGGTAAAGGGCTTGTGTGCCTGTAATGTGATGCTCAGAAAATCAGTTTGATTTGTTACAGTGCTGATTTGTTTGGCAGATGGACAGATTTTGTAAATCATCTAGATGTGGTGAAACTTAAAACTGGGTATATTTGTGACAGGATGTTTCAGACAAATACTCAAATATGTTTAATTTGGAGTTTCACAGCTGTAGGCTGTCTGGGATGAATCCTAAGGAGCTGTATGATTCTTGTTGTGCTACCTTTCTTGTTACATCTCCTGGTACCACTCTGGACTGAAGTTTAACCACTGCTGAGGATGCCTTGCTAAAAAACTGTGGAACAAGCAGACATGGAGACAGAGATCTCCAGAACAAACAACTCTTCTGAACTGTGGGTCACTAGAGAATGTAACTTTTGAAGGAAACCTAAAAAAGGAACCCATAAGTTTTTCTGAGGAGCCATTTCCTGGTCCTTCTCTCCATTTCCCAGGTCTGTGGACATGTATGCCATGCTAAGTGCAGCATTTCAGAGCTGTTGCTTAATTGTCTGCTGTTGATACCTTGTGGGAATAGGACTTGTCACCTATCTGTCCTTTCCCCTCCTTTCCTTCAGTGTCACCAAGTGGAACTGGGTCCTCAGTGACTTACCTTGCAGAATGGAGATTTCATTATCCCTTAATTGCATTAAAAAACCCGCTCCTACCTTCTCTAGTGTACCTGACATGGCAAGCTGTGTTGGAGAATGGGAGCACAGGCCATTCCCAGAAACAAAATTCAGTTCTCTGTAGCTTTTAGCAATGCTTTTAGACTAAGGCCTGATCTTGATGGTCATCAAGTGCAAAGTGCGCACATTTATGGGTGCATGAGATCAGACAAAATGGTGTGTGAAATTCCTGTCTGTAGATATGCTTCGTAGGAATGACTGAGCAATGCAGGGATATCTCATCTGGCTGTAAACAAGAAGTATTCAAGTAGCAACGCGGACAGAGGGCTGGTTAACTTCTCACCCATTTGTTCAGCAGCTGGATTAGTTATACAGGCTGTGCTGAGCTCCTAGCTGTCGCAGTTACACAGTTCTCAGTACCAGTTTAAAAATAACTTGGTTGCACCCATGTGAACCACAGCCCTAGCAGTAACAGCAAGGGTAGGACAGCACTCACATTTAAACATCATCCTCACTGCAGAGCTCTGTCAAAAATGCTGTTTGTAACCAGCTGGTGAGAATGTGAGGACTCCACCTTGTTATTTTTCCCCATGCAGAAGGAGCAAAGAGTTTATTTTTCGGCTGGTAGTCCTGCGATTGCAGGCAGGCATCCAGTTATCAAGCTGGGCTCTTCCTATCGCCTGCCCTGTTGGTAAGCAAAGCTGTGCATGTCTGACAGTACCTCAGTTTTTTATAACTGTGTTGTTCCAGTGATTGCTCTGGAAATTTCCAGGGAATTTAAGCACTCAACTGTGGGTTTTAGACTGGAGACTGAGGGCCTGGAAGAAGAACAGCAAAAGAGATGGCTAGCTTTCTGAGTGGTTCTGTAGAGCTGGACTACCTCTGCTGACAGAAGACCAACCTCAAAAGGTTTGGGAGTGCCTCTGGGATGAGGCTAATGCCATCCCTCATGTCTGCCATCAGACATTACCATGCCCCCACCAGCCAGCCCAGACAAATGAGACACAGTTGGGTTCACACAACCTCACAATTCAGTTGCTTGAATTGTTTGTTCCTCTACTTTGGACTCTGTCATACTCCATGCCTATCACTGCAATGGAAATGCAAAATATCCCTCATGAAGTAGAGTTTCCACCTCCTGTCTTCCCAACAAACGCCTTTTCCTAACTCAGTGCTCTCCTTTGCAGGGATTTAAATTCAAGAAGTGTTCTGCTTGAAGTTTTGCAAGGGTTTGGCAAACACAAAAGCCAAGAGGTGCTGGCTGTTTTCAAATAGCACTTGGAATGAGCTGTGATCAAAACCAAATTCCCTCCTCTTCAGTCCAATTTCTGGCCCTCTATCTGTGAGCTCCCAGTCTCCCTAGCATGCATTTATAAAAGAGCCCTAGTGAGAGAACGGTCAGGACAAGCATTTGCCTTTTCACAAAGCCCTGCAGTGCTTTTGCACGAGAAAAAGAGCTTATGGCAACTGGAAGCAGTTTCTGTGTTTGTGTTGACTGGCCATGGTTTTCAGCTGCCGGGGGTTTCCAAAGCAAATGAAATGTTAATCATCAAAGTGGGCTCCCTCCCCTACTTTCAGTTGCTGAAAATACTACAAAGTAAGATGGAAAGAAACATGTAATCCTTCATCATCACAGTCAGGATTTACTTGTTTATTTAGATTCCTTGTCTGTTCCAAATGTTCTGCCAGAGAAAGCCCATCCAGGCTCCAGGAGTGCTTGACACACATTAAAAAAATCTAGATGTATATAGGAGATAAATCCAGCAGAAGGCACTTCCTTTCCTCACAGCACACCAGTGCAGCAATCGGCCAAAAGTCCCACTTGCACGATATCTCAGGATGCTTTTTGTAG